AGGCACTATGCACTGAGACAGACTGCTGAGGTGGTGGGTGACCTGAGAGCTGGGCAAGTTTCTTGCAGAGTCCTAGTCAAGGGGTAGCACAGAGGAACAAATGGGTGAGGTCAGGGGTCTTACTCTCAAATACCAGAGCTGAATCCTATCCCAGAAGGATAATAAATGGAATTTTAATCAATACCTCATGGAGTGTGTGTCCCTTTCTCTCTGCAATCAATAGCCCAAAGTTTACTATCTCAGTATTTAGAACTGTCTATTTAACAGTAAGCTGTAAACCCTGAATGCTAGCTGAAAAACTGCACATCTCAGAACCTAGATGGTTGCTGGGCCTTTACAAGCTGATGGCTGAGGTTAAATTTTAAGACCTATGCCCTGAGCAGTAAATGTGTAAACTATAAATCCTGACTGATAAATAATGAGTCCCACAAAATTAACAAGTAAACCACAACACCCGAATAAGAAACCCTCAACAAGAAATTCTAAACGAAAAACTGCACAAGAAAACCTCCAAATCCTCAGTTTTATGCAAGAGCTGGAAAACAGTAGAGAGAAGCCAAGGAATTTCTGCCCACAGCTTAAAACACTTTCCCTTCATTTGTGAGTGCAGCAGAACTGTAAGACCCATCATAAACACTTTGCAGTTGCTGTTTATAAGCTTGGTTTTAGCTGCTGTTCAAATGTGGCCATACGCAAGAAGCAATGCATAGGGTTGTACTAAGCTGCACTGAACCTACCTGCCACACTGCGCACTAATTCACGTGCGGTACCAACAAACATTTGTGTTATCCAGAAGGTGGCACACAGTGTCCAGAATGAGGGTAAAACACTGCAGACAGGGAAATATTTATGATGTAACTAGATGTGTTTTTAGCCTATTAACCACACTGTAAACATTTCTAGTCCAAGCTACCTAACCACTCGGGCACCTAGCTGTCTTCAGCCTTTGGCAGATGGTACTCCTCAGGGAAGGTGCAGCGCAGACAGACACTGCAATGTTAGAAGTGTTTATCTTGGCATAAAAAAAAATGCATAACACAGACAGGGGGAACAAGCAGCCCTCACCTGTCTGCTTTCTCATTCAACACAGGCAAGAGAAGGAAAGCTAAGAGTTCTCAGACTCCCAAGCAACCACCCACTGCCATGCCCAGGAGCGCTACCTACTCAGTGCACTGCCACTAGAAGCCCCCCTCTCATTCGCCTGCGAGCAAGGAAGCCAGCCTGCACTTCAGCCCTCTGTCTCCCACACCCCACCTACGCTTCTTCACTTAGCACCTCTCCCACAGAAGCATCAGGCACACAACACCCATGGCACATGGATTTTTTTGTCTCCTCCAGACCATTGATACAGCAGCCTCTACAACTCCAAGCACTAGAAAGACTAAGCTAATAGGAAACAAACTGTAGCCAGGATGATGAGAGAAGCAAGGTTTCACTTCACTTCCACAGGCTGCCTCGGACACACAAGTAGCTCAAGTCAGACCCTACCCCTGTGACTCAGCAGCATGCCCAAAGGCTGTGTCAAGTGCAAGCTGCTGCTGCAGAGAGGTGGAAGAATGAGGCTGATGCAAGGCAGATACCTGTTTACATAAAGACAGATCCAACAGGAAATCGGGGCTTTGTGCCAGTATCACATTCATGAACCAAGCAGCAACACGCGACAGCCCCATGCGGGCGCTGGCAAGCAAGAGGCACAGCCTATGCGGAGGGCAGCCTGCGCTCTGATGCAGAGGACAGACAGTAACAGCGACTCCAGACTACCCTGCTACAGGCGCTCGCCCTAACACCCAAGTACTCGGACACTCCGATCTCTGCCTTCCTGGCACCTTCCCCACGAGCCTCTTCACTATCAACCGTACCCTCCCCATAGCATCTTGGCCCATTGGTGCGCTCCCAGTGTACATGTACAGCCCCGTGCCCAAGCAACAAAAATCTCTGGAGAGGTGTTAGTCTGAATGAGGCAGATCAACAACTTCCATCCACTGCTGATCAACTCCACTAAGCACCCTTGGCACCTTGAAAGCCTGACAAAACACAAAGGAATGCTGGATCTTCAGTTTCACAAAGGAACAGGAATCCTGAAAGGGGATGAGGAGAAGAAAAGAAGAAAAGAGGGAGGGGGAGACAGAGGAATGGGAAGAGGGATTTAAGGGGTCTTTGAGGAGTGTTTGGGGGTCAGTAGGAGCTTTGAGGAAGAGTTTGGGAGAGTTTGGGGGCTGCTGGCAGCTTTGGGGCAGCATGTGGGGAGTCTGGGGCAGGCTTTAGGGATATTTGGGTTCTGTAAGGCCACTGCAGATCCATTGCAAGTATCAGGGAAAATGACCGTACAGCCTGACGTCTGTGCTAGTCATTACCAGCATCCAGCGGCGCTGACAGCTGCAGTCTCTGTTGTGGCACAGCTTCGTCAGCCAGAGCTTTCTGGGTGACGCACAGTAAAGTCCATCGCTCCCATGGCTCCTGCAATGCTGACAGCCACACACAGCAGCCATGGTACCAGCACCCATGTGCACCCAGCACCCCAATCAGGGCAGTCGTGTGTGTGTCCCCCAACTCTAATCCACTTTTTCCTGTCTCACTTCACCCTGAAAGGGCATTTCAGATGACCTCTCAAACTATCCCTCCAACACCCTCCAAATACTCAACCCTGCCTGTCATGGATGGAGTGATGCAATTCACTCGCAAGGGAGAAGCAACAATATGTTTATTGATATAAAACAGCGATTTAAGAAAGTTGGATAGTAAATGCAACAGGGCTTTAACAAGATTTGATGGCAAGGTACACTTGATTATTTACTGCATAGAGGACAGGGTCAGACAAAACTGTCAGGGAGACCCTTCCATAGAGTCTCAAGGTTCAGGGAGGACCCCCTTGCATTCTAAACTTCCCTTAGAGGAGTCTAGGTGCATCTGGATCCAAACTTAGTCCTGGACTTGGTCAACAGTTTATGTCTAGAACATTATATGTGCACAATCAATCTAATATATAATCTAATGAAGCTTACAAAGTCTAGCAAGCTATTAGTCACTTACCAAGGAATCTCTCAGTATCGAGGAGTAAGGGATTTCTGCAGCAGGTGTAACCTTGAGAGGCGTCCCTACTCAAGGGGAGATCCTGTCATGCAGCCTGCTGCCATGCAGGAAAGCTCAAAGGGCTCTTGAAGTGCTATTTATGGGGATAAGGTGATTGACTCATAGTCATATTTGCATACCGACCACAGATTTTACTTTCTTCCAAATCTGGCTTGACTCAAACATTGACCAGCACTGTGGTTAGGCGGGTGCACTGCTCAAATCAGCCCTTGGCTATTGTGTTGCTATCTGTCTCCCAAATCCACTTTGAGCCAGATGCAGCCATCACCACCAGACGCATCCATTAGGACTGCCACTGGTGGTCATTGCTTGAGCAGGGTTATGGCAGATAAAGGTCAGGTTGGGGGGGAGGGGGGGGGAGGCAGCACACTGTCACATTGCCCCAACATGACCGAGCCCTAATAGCCCTGGTAAGTGCAAAACTCCTGCCTTTCTTCATGAGCACTGCTGCTGGAGTAAAGCTGCAGGCACTCTGGATGGCCTTGAGGCATGACGCAAGTTTCTCACGCCTGCGGTAGCTAAGGGCCCTGGATGTGACAGCAGTGACTCCAGAACTGCACAATGGTTGAGTTGGGAAGGGACCTCCGGAGGTCATCTGGTCCAACCCACCATCTCAAGCAGGGCCACCTACAGACAGCTACCCAGGACCGTGTCCAGGTGACTTTTGAGTATCTCCAAGATGGGAGAGTCTCCAGCCTCCCTGGGCAACAGGCTCTGTCACCTGCACAGTGAAAAGGACTTCCTGATCTTCAGCGGCAACCTCTGGTGCTTCAGTTTGTGCCCATCGCCTCTTGTCCTGTCACTGGGTACCACTGCAAAGTGCCTGGTTCCACCTTCACACCCTCCCTTTAGGTATTTATATACATCGATAAGATACCCCTGCCCCAAGCCACCTTCTCTTCAGTCCCACCTCTCTCAGGCTTTTCTCATGTGAGAGATGCTCCAGTCCCTTCATCATGTCAGTGGCCCTTCAGTGGACTCTCTCCAATATGTCTGATATGTCTGTGCCTCTCTTGCACTGTGGAGCCCAAAAGACCCCCTGTGCTACAGACAACAGCGCAGATACCCTTCCCACCCAAAAATTTGATTCCCTGACACAGGGAAGAAGTCCCAGACAACCTGAGTAAGCGAAGGGGCCCCCGAAGAACTGAGGAATGCACGAGAGATGCCAGCACAACCTCAAGAGTCCCTGGAAAAGCCACCAAGACAAAAAAATATGCCCCCCCCAGCCCCATGATAGCTCTGGGAACACTTAGGAAAATCCCCAGAAGCAACAGGTGTGGCCCTAGAGAACCTCCCAAGGAGACACAGCGTTGATGGGCCCACCTCCCAGCATCTAGAGCACTAGGAACATCCATCTCCTACAGCAGGTAAGAGTAGTGGCACTGAGGAGCTTTTGTGCTCATCCTAAATGAGCTATAGTATGACATTCTTCAATTAGCCCTAACAGGATTACCTGGTATTGATCAAATACATACTGTCCGTCTGTCCTGTTTTCGGCTGGGACAGAGTTAATTTTCTTCCTGGTAGCTGGCACAGCGCTGTGGTTTGGATTTAGTACGAGAAGAATGTTGATAACACACTGATGGTTCAGTTGTTGCTGAGCAGCGCTTACACTCGTCAAGGACCTTTCAGCTTCCCACGCTCTGCCAGAGAAACCAGACGCTGGGAGGGGGCACGGCCAGGACAGCTGACCCCAACTGGCCAAGGGGGTATTCCAGACCATAGGATGTCATGCTCAGTGTGTAAGCTGGGGGGGGTTGGCTGGAGAGCAGCCATCGCCGCTTGGGGACGGGCTGGGCATCAGTTGGTGGGTGGTGAGCAATTCCATTGTGCATCACTTGGCTTGTATATTCTCTTATCATCATCATTATTTTCCTATGCTGTTTTATTAAACTGTCTTCATCTCAACCCACAGATTTTACTGTTTTCTGATTCTCTCCCCCATCCCACTGGGGAGAGGGGGGGAGTGAGCAAACAACAGTGTGGTGTTGAGCTACCTGCTGGGTTGAACCACACCACCATCCTGAGATGTGCTGTATTAAAAAACAAAACAAAACAAAAACCCAAACAAAACGCCCATACACAAATGTCCATCTCTGCTACCAAAGTTGTTCGACTTGATCACTTCCATACAGCAGTATAATCAATATGCCGATTTCCAAGGCGCCTTAAATTTCTCAGTGATCTTCATTAACAACAACTTGCAATTCTGAAGAGAGAGGACAATGGTATGAACGGCGCTGCAGGAGCAAGTGTGTGCCTGCTCTGTGTTGCAGTGTTAGAACGCACGGCTGGGGCAGCATTAACAAGCTATTTCCACAGTGACTCCACTCAAAGTTTCTTCGTCTCTTTTGCTTTCTGCACTCCCTGCCAACATCACATTCAAGCATCTGACTGCAACTTTTGCCATTCCAGGGAAAGCACTAAGAAATCTATCAATAAATTAATTTCCTGCTTAAGCCTTTTACAACAGAACTGCTGCAGTTGTCCCAGCTCTTGGAGAAATTTTCTGTTAAAATTAAAAACATCAAGAGAAGTCTAAAAACAAATACACAACTGCACAACAACTTTAAAGCAAAAGAAGAAAGTCAAGCAATTCTGGAAGAAAGTGAAGGAATTTAGTTTCTACTTTGTTCCATTTATACAAATTAAGAACTGAGATTCTTAAATATTTAAAGCATGAAAACAGAAGTGAAGTATTATCAATGAACAAAAACATCTTTGACAATTCATGTTTAAACAGAAAGTACGTAAATTATATTTTTAAAAGGATGCCGAGAACAGGACAGCTCAGCTGTAAATTTGCAATCTGACAAATATCTCACACCATTTCTCACGCTTTTTTTTGCTTTTGCAGTGTAAGAAACTCAGAAAAAACCCCTCCCTCCATTACAGAAAAACAGCAGACAGGAAGATAGTTAAACTCATCAGCCAAGGATTTTCAAATTACCTATATGCTGCACAGTAGACAAATAATCAACCGTCTACCCACCCCACCCAGAGCTCTCAAAAAGAATGTCTCAGTGCTTTGGATTAAATGATGACCAACTGAATTGATTTTGTCGTCTTGGCAACACTAAATCCAAGGACAGATCTCTCTGTTCTTTTTCTGAATCCACCAGCTGATAGCCAAGCATGTTTATAGCACCTTTGCACACTTCTTGTATTTTCTTAATTTTCTGGAAGGAAAGAACATTTCTCCAGGCCTGTGAAACACTAACTGCATCTCGAGATGTGATTTTGAAGGCTTCTTTTTTTTTTCCGGGTCCCTGTCCATGTGTGATATTATAGATCCAGCTTTTGAGTGTGGGGGTCAAACTAAGATCTGCAAATTTATACATTTCTGAGATTTCCGATAATGGATCTCTTACTAGATCTTCAAAACGGATCATTAAATAGCGATCTTTAAGGAAATTAGGTGGTTTTAGAGTAGCCGTTTCATAAATCTGAACATGACTTCTACAAATCTCTTGCATTACTTTGTATTTGCTGTCTTCCACTTTAGTGCCATTGGTACTCAAAACAATTCCATTGTCACGGGCTAGTGCTTTGACCGATTGTTCCCGTGACTTGACAACTGCCCTGGGGTCACGGACCAAGTGAATAATTTTGAGATTCAGGGATGGATCAGTGAGAAGGGGGTAGAGGACCTTCAAGTCAAAGAATCGAACCTCCTTGATGACAACATGCCTGTAAGTTTTACAGGCTTCCTCCACCTTGCTGAATGGGTACCGTCCACAGAGAGTCTTGCATGCCATTTCGCTGGTTATGTCAGTACGCTGAAAGGAGTCACAAGCAGGAGCTGAACACAGAGCCCGACTCACTGCCCACTGGAAAAGATCAGACAAGTTTCTTTTCCAAGGCATGTAAGCATCAAATACAGACATGTCACACAGAAAGACCGACCTGACTAGGTCCCGCACTGCCATGTGCAAGACCTTGGCACTGTTCTGGTACATCGTAACCCACACGTGCCATGCGGGCTCCATCAGGTAGAAGACGCTGGGGTGCTGGCTGAAAAGTTGACCGACAAAAGAAGATCCCGACCGCCAGGAGGAGAGAATGAGGATGTGGACTTGAGATGGTTTCTGCTCAGACTGAGGCATGAAGCTACTGTACCGGGCATACATGAAGAGTAAGAATCCAGTCTGAACCATAACAAAAAGTATAATGATTGTGCTAGGAATCCGAATCCTTGCCATTCTCACCGAGGAAAAGCAATTAAAAAAGCTGAAAAAGAGAAGGAAAATGTTGGTGAATCATTGCTCCTGTGGCACAATAATGATAAAACTTACACAATACAAACTCTTGCATTAGTAAAACCTTTCTTCAAATATGCATGTATGTATTCAGCACTATGTGCTTCCTTAATCACTGGGAGATGATCATCTGCAGGTGACAGGCATTGGAAACTGAAAGTAAGTAATGCGCGACAGCAAGATCACAGCAGAAATAGGTTTGGAGCAAATGTCTGATGCTGAAGGAAACCTTGGGTTGATGCAGCTCAACTGTTGCAGGAAAAAAGAATCTACAAAATACACAAAGCCCTCAACCTGAATTCCGGTAAATACTGCTGGGGGAAAAACACCCTTTCGTATTTCCATTTCAGTCTAACATTACAAGGGCTTCTACCCCTTAAAAGGAGCAGATGGGAACATCAGTAACTGTGGCTACTGAAACAAAAATCATCTTCTAGTGTGAGCGCTGTACCCTGCCATGACTGTAGGGCTCTCCAGTGATTGAGGCCTGTGCTTAACTCTCTATTTTCCGAATTGCATGAGACGGGTGAAAACTCACAACCTGAAGCCGCATCTGGCCACAGATGTTAAAATGAAAAAGCAGCTGATGTGTGTCTTTGGGCTGCAGCGCATACACCCCATGACTGAATACCCTGACTTTGCATTTAAGGAATTATCCATTTGTGAGTTAGAATTAGTCTGCATGTAACTCCTGGAAAATTTTAGGCATGTCGACCCCAAGTGAGCTTCTGCTTTACTTTGAAGTCAAAGTTCAAGCCACAGGCACTCCTCACAACTTTTTACTAGAGGTTTTTGGCACCTACTCCTTTGTGCTCTCACTTTTGCAGATGCCACTTGTAAGCAGTCAGCGTATGTTAGCAGGCACGGTATTAGGAAAATAAGAATCCTTGTGTATGAAGATCGTCTTGAGAGTTTTACATGTAAGCATTTGCTATCTAGCTGCACTTAGACAATTTTTTTCTTGTTACAGCGAAAGGTACATATATCAACATACTCTAGACTGTTGAAAGTAAACCATGCAGACTAGCAAATATAGATACATACTCATATGACATAATAAATGCATTAAGTTCTTAGTGCTAGCCTAATGAAACATGAGAAAGACTATTAATTAGTACCAAACACTGAAATAAATGGTCAAATGAGATAGTAGAAATGGGTGGTTTCGGCTCCTTCCACTGCCTGAATGTCTCTTCATGATATAAAGAAATGCATTCTATCTTAAATGAACACAATTTTGCTACTAAACTTTTGTTTGTAAGCCAAGAAAAACAGCACAAATATGAGCTGAGTAGGAAAAATGAGTCAATAAAAGCATCTACCTTTGGTATCATATAGTATCTTGTAAGGAGAGCAAGGCAGATGAGTAAGGTACTAACTTGCTTGAGGAAGTTCTTCTCCCAAAGTACCATCTCTTGCTTGTAAGATACAGAATCACAGAATCATTTAGGTTGGAAAAGACCCTTAAGATCATTGAGTCCAACTGCTAACATAACACTGCCAAGTCCACCACTTGTCCCTAGGCACCACATCTACCTGTCTTTTAAATACCTCCAGGGATGGGGACTCAACCACTTCCCTGGGCGGCCTGTTCCAATGCTTGACAACCCTTTTGGTGAAGAACTTTTTCCTAATATCCAATCTAAACCTCCCCTGGCACACCCTGAGGCTGTTTCCTCTTGTCCCATCGCTTGTTACTTGGGAGAAGAGACCGACCCCTACCTTGCTACAGCCTCCTTTCAGGCAGTTGTAGAGAGCAATAAGGTCTCCCCTCAGCCTCCTCTTCCCCAGGCTGAACAACCCCAGTTACCTCAACTGCTCCTCGTAAGACTTGTGCTCCAGACCCTTCACCAGCTTTGTTGCTCTTCTTTGGACTGTATAAAAAGTTCTGTATACTCTTTAAATCTGCTCTAGTTGATACCCACTCAGCTAATAATGCCTTTCTACTGTTTTATTAAGTTCCCCGCTTCACCATACAATCTGTTTCTGTAGCTTAGCAACAGCACTTACGTCTCTTTAAAACTATGGTTATCACGGAGTTTTTAGTGGTTGTGCTGCCCATTGAGGCAAGGGACCCTTTTCTCCAGCGGTTCCACATTCTCATCAGCTCTGTGCAACTATCCACGACATATGACTGCAACAGCACCTCCCAGGATGAACCCATGGCCCCCCAAGCCTCTCTTGCATAGTCCCAGTGCTTATCAGACGCTCTGCCAAGCCAGTTCAGTCTGCTAGCCTAGACAAAAGCTACCCACTCATTTTTCTTCACCTAGCTCTTTAGCATTAAAACAACTCAGCACAGCACAGACCAGCACTGGAGCTAGAAAAAGGTAGGGATCAAAAAGGCATAGAAGGGCAAGAGAGCAGGGGAGCCCCAGACCACACTGCCAACAGGACGCAGCTTAAGCCATGCACGCAGGTCTTCAAGTTAATCGGTATTATACCTTTTGGCCATCTACTGTGTGATCATGTCACAAAATCATTTACACGGATTCTTCAGCTGCAGTCATGCTAGGCCTCCCCTATGACCGGTGCCTCAAGCCTATTGGGTCACTACTCGCATTACAGAAGCATGTACACAACTGCCAAGCTTACAAAATACAAATGAACAGTGAGAGGGATAAACCCACACAATTTCTGTGAAACAAACTAAAACAACCCCACATCTTTCTCATCAAGCTGCTACAATTCTTTTGTCATTTCAAAATAGAGATTGAAGGACTCTGGCTCGTCTCATAGAATCACAGAATGGTTGAGGTTGTTGGGCACCTCGTGTAGGTAATCTGGTCCAACCCCGCATCTCAAGCAGGGCCACCTACAACCAGCTGCCCAGGACCATGTCCGGATGGCTTTTGAGTATCTATCTCCAAGGTGGGAGACTCCCCAGCCTCCCTGGGCAACCTCTGCCAGTGCTCTGTCACCTGCACAGTGAAAAAGTGTTTCCTAATATTCAGAGGGAACCTCCTGTGCTTCAGTTTGTGCCCATCACCTCTTGTCCTGTCACTGTGTACCACTGAAAAGAGCCTGGCTCCATCTTCTTTACACTCTCGCTTCAGGTATTTATAAACATTGATAAGACCTCCCAATATCAGCCACTCCTCCCAGTTTTCTATCATCAGCAAACTTGCCGAGGGCACACTCTTCCCCATCATCCAGATCATTCATGAAGATATTAAACAGCACTAGATCCTTTACTGACCCCTGAAGCACACCGCTAGTTACTGGCCTTCAACTAGACTTTGTTCTGCTGACCATCGAGGCCCTGTGGGCCTTGGCCTTCAGCCAGTTTTCAATCCACCTCACTGTCCGCTCATCCAGCCCATACTTCACCAGCTTCTCTATACAGTAACCTTTACTGTTTTCACTTCAAGATGTCTTTTTTTTTTTTTTTTTAAAAATGGCAAAATGGGACAAAAAATACATAGGTATATTTCCATAGTCTTATCTGAGAAGATAGGAACAAAATAACAAATATAACAGAGTGATCATAAATAACCTTATTTTTCAGGGCCAAGTTCATAAGCAGATTCAAGGCCACAAAAAAAGCATACCTTTTTAGAAGAACCAGATGTCAATATATTCATTCAAATTGCTACTGATATATCCAGGCAGACAAGCATGGAAAAAGCAGCCCAGTCTCCCATTTCTGCTCTGGCAATGGTGTCTGGACCCCAAACAAATGTGCCACAAATTTTTGGCAGTGGGATGGGCGGGGGCAGGGTGCCTATGGACCAAATACACTGTGAGTTGGCTTTTGTATTTTGCTGCACAATCAGTACGAAATCTGTAGTTTAAAGGGAACTGAAGAATGACAGGTGTAGTCTGGTCTGCACTAAACCATGGAACGTTAACTATGGAATTATTGGGCCCTTGACAGAGCTCCAACATCTCCTGACTGAGATCCCAATGAGTCCTGACTCTATATGGGACTAATTACTTTTTTTAGAGCATCATATTTTGCATGCTAATTTGCCCACAATTCTTCAAGATTATATAGCAGAATACAGTAAGGCGTGAAGATCAAGCACAAGGACAGTCAATAACTTCTGTAAAAGGAATGCTGAAGTGACTATCACTCCTCAGCCTGGAAGAGAGGGTCCCTGGACAGGGAAATCACAACTGGCCTGGAGAAAGCAGCTGCAAATCCACTCTCTCACAACTGCTTGAAACAGGAAAACTGGGAGAATTTGATTAAATGATCACTCATGACAAAACCTTTTTGTACACTGCTTTGTAAAAAACGTGAAACTCTGCTTCAAAATGCTGTGGCAGCAAGAGAGTTCAACAAATGACTACTTCGATGGAAAGTAATTAATCGAAGAAGAGCCTCTCAAGGACCGTTAAATGCAAAGACAAGGCTACAGCTGGTGGCTTAGCAAGTCCCTAAACTGTAAACGTCCTGAGGTATTTGCCTGCATCTGGGAGGTATACTAGGAGAAATTATGTTTCCTGTATTATTTAACTGTCTCCCTAGCAATCTACTACTTGCTACTGTCAGGCACAAGAGCAGATGGATAAACCTTTGGTTTAATTCAGAAAGGCCATTCTCCATAGATGAAATTTGCCTCATTCAAACAGTGAATTTTTTGCATATTATTTCACCAGAAGCATCTACAGGCTTCTCTACGCTGTGAGGATTATCAGCAATCCAGCAGACTGCACTGACACTTTGCCGGACAGAGGTGATGAAAGAATCTAAGGAAACGTGGAAGAGCAGTTGCATTTCCTAGTTCAAGTTTTCCTGAAACAGACACTATGCCTGAAGGCCGGCCAGCCATAACTATCTCAAATCTTTTTCTTGTCTGCAAAATGTTAGCCATTTTCTGCACCAAGACTGCATTGTGCAGCTCGTCACACTCTACTTTTAGAGATCAAATGATGCTTTTTAAAGAATTAATGTTTCTAGTCTAGCTATACAGAACTGCTGCTCCACTCTTAATCAAGATCACCCTGCAGAAATGCAAACACTAACTGTTCTTCATACCTCATTGGTGAGGGGTGGGGGAGTGGGGAATAAAAACATGCTGATGTCAAACCAAAAGCCAGTTTCTAAAATTTACATCTGCCTTGACTGCCTCTAGGACCTCTCCTCGCTCCGATTCCCACCCAAGTACTGTTGCAGGCAATACTGTGCCAACAAAAATCAGGTAACATGACTACTAGTCCATAATTTGTGCCTGAACTAGTCTGCCCACCGTAAGCACTCCAAATAGTATGTAAAATGACTGTAGCCAAAGTATTTCCCTACTCTTCAGTATGATATAAACTGCAAGAAAAAGTGCAGTATCAAAGTAAAGCACTAAGTAAATACACATTTTCAGTATTTAAGATTCATCTACCCTTTTGGGAAAGTTGGGATGTTTCTGAGGAATATGCATGCATGCAGACACCACAAAGAAATTAATAATTACACATCAAAATGCAGCATCTGTAAGGGTATTATCTCGGGCAGTTTCCAGTGCATGAGGCCAAATACATATCCAGTTCACTGGATTTGTTCTGTCAACAGTGCCTTTTGTTTCTGCATTTCTCACATTGGACATGTGTAATTCTATTTGCATGTAAAGACCCTTTACCATTTGCAATTGCATTTTGCAGTTGAGGCGCTTTCAGCCCAGGTTAAACTTACAGCCCTTAAATGCGCAGCTTTACAACCCACCAAGCTCGCTCATGATTTTTGACAAATGTTAGCTGGGGCAGAAAGCAGTTCTTGAATACCCTGAAGAATTACCTTCCCATAAAGTTGCTGAATGTATATACACACACGTGTGTGTGTATATATATATATATATATATGTTTATAAATCTACTGAACAGATTACATTAGATCATTGCCTTAGTCGCGAGGGACACCGGCCCTTGCGATACAGGCTGCTCCTTCTGACCCGCTATTGATTCCACCGCAGGACTCAGCAGAGGGTGCTCTTAGGCAACCTTGCTCTTGCAGCACAGACAGGCAATACGCCAACACTTCGTTAGCTGCTAGGTGAAACACTAGTCAGTGACTTGCCGTGCACTGCCTCGCCTCTTTCTGCCAGTGCCCTCCTCTCCTGCCCGCAGCTCGGTGGCACTACCTGTCTCCCCCCAGGCCCCTCAGGAAAGCCAAGTACGGGCCCGTTCCCACCCTGCGGCTGCACCTGCCTGACCACAGCGGGCCTGGGGGGGGAACGGGACCCGCACCAGAGGGGCCAGATGGCCTTCAGCTGCCATCTCAGTGACAAAACCTTCTAGCAAGCACCTCCTCATCGACTCGTGAAATCAGACTGACCAGAAGTGGCAAGTGAGCTACAAGAGGCAGAAAAACAGACGGTGAGAGACATCAAGCTGCAGCACAGAGCACTCCAACGCCTTTCGCATTGCTCAGCTGAGACATCTGAAGTATTGCAATACCTGGTGGTATCACAATACATACTTTTGTACATCATGAATACTGATAAGCAAAAATTATTTTAATAACAGCTACAATGTCACTCCTTTTCTGTGATAGTAGCACTACTTCTTTTGTGATACTATTTCTTCAGGGAGAGCTCTGGCAAACAGCAAGATAATCAAAGGTCTAATTCTAACAAATTCTAGAGGCAGAATCATCTGTTCACAAGCCAATGCAAATGTTCAAAAAGTGGTATGAAAAGCACCTGCACATATGGTTTAGTTGACAGTCCTGAGTCAAGCTCTGTCATTGGGCTTGTCCGCTAACAACTACTAATGGAAACAAGATCCTGGACTAGCTGAACCCGGGGTCTGCCCCAGGATAACTACTCTTACGTAGTGTGCAAAGGAAATTAATTACACAAACTGTCAAAAGAGCAGTGATTTTCTTCATCACTTAAACTGTCTCTGACAGAATGTTGGGCTGCAGGGCCACTAGCATCTGCCATTGCTTGCCGAGAGACTAGATAACATTACAGAAACCTATCTAGTTTTACCAGTCAGGGTAAAAATACAGTGAGCGGTAGTATTGACCCCAGAAAGCTTGTTTTCTAAACAGAGCGCTTTTCAGACCCAGAATGGTAGAAAAGAACGGAGGAGGAAAGAACTAAATTGTGCTGATCATTTAGCTCTTGCTTTCAGGGACTTTGTTACGTAAGACAAGTAATGTTGGAATCGAGTAATCAGATCTTTGCAGGTCGGTGCTGAAAGGAGCACAACTGATCAGTGAACATCCTTTCAGTACAGAATTCAACCTGAAGAGACCTAATAAATTAACAAAAATTAACTTTATAGCTACAAAAAAGAAAAAAAAAGACCCTCCTATTACACTGCTCATTTTTTTTCTGCAAGACTAAAAAGACTCGACAGTGAGTGCCTCACATTACAGCTGTAAAGAAACATGGGCTCTCTCTGAGCTTGGGACAAAAGGCTGGGATGAAAGACTCCCTCAGAACAAACAGGTTTGGGTCTGCTGCAGGAAGACTGAAAAATCTGTCTGGAATAAAGCAAAGAACTGAAAACAACTGAGAGAAGAATTACAAGTACCTGCTCCCCCAGAAGGACTTCTGAGCAACTGAATCTTGGCTGTCTTTTTGACAAAGTCTTCCCCGGCCATTTTGTGTCTGAGAAAATTTCCAGCACGCTTTCATTTAGAGCAGTTTATACAGCACTTTTAAAGCCAAAGTCTTTATAGATTACACAGAAATTACTTAAACTTCCACAAAGTGCAAAAATACACATTCAATTAATTTCCCAGATTGCTCTCTTCCACTGAAAAATGAGTATCTAACGCAGTATTATGTGCTCAGCCTTTTGCTAGCCAAAAATAATTTTGTCCTGTATGCCTGTCATACACTAAATGCTGACTTTCAGAGCAATCATATTTATGTACTTACAATTCACCAAAGCACCTCAGTACTGACTGTGAAAAGAATGGTAATGGTAAATGTCATCACGCATTTTAAAATATTAATAGGAAAATGTTTGTGCACGGCATGATAAACAGAGCAAAGATCACCTGAAGGTCTACTATACCTTATGGAGAAGTATACTCACTACATACTTCACCTCGAAGACATCGTACCAATGCAACCACTAGCAGAATGGCTTCTGTGAGCTAACATTAGAAACATAGTTTGCTGCTCAAAAAAGTGAAATGCAGGAATGTGACAAAGCTGGTCCAAGAAAAACACACAACAATATTACCAGTAATCCCTGCTGTAAATCACCCAACTGACAAAACATCACTTTCCAGGGTTCTTCCACAGCTAGAAATGACACCTCTTCACAAGGCAAAAACTTACTGCATTGCCAACAATATGCAGAATGATCCCTGAATGGGGAAAGAAAAAGCTAGTTTGGAAGGTGCCTTCTGTAGCCACTGGTACTTTAAAAAGAGTTAAAAGTCTTTCCAAGAGCTGATCATTGCTGAACAGTTGAAAGAATTACTAGGCCTGCTTAATTTTTTTAATGCAACAGTGAAATTGCAACAGAAATAATAAAAGTACAGTAAATGTATCATAATCAGACATTTTGAATTCTGACATCATATTAGCATTTCAGCTGATAGCGTCAATTTAGCTTTTAATAATGTACTTTTTACAATCTAGTGGAAAATGACATTGGAAGAGTCACTTCCAGGTAATCATAAGGTTTAAATACTTTATAATACAGTGAAACACACCATAGGTTTCAGGATACAACCATAACAATTAGTAAAAAAAGGCACTAGGCTTTTTTTTTTTTTTCCTTCTTTTGCTTGAAGTTGTCTAGCCTCAACAACTCGGAGTGCTGAGGCATAGCCCTATGCCTATTTCTCCATGCAATGCAGCTGAAGATCACAAAGTGTTTTCAGCTACTAGAATTATCGGTGTTCAAGAAGTGAGGTCTGCTCAACTGCAATTTTTGTAGGAATTTTTACTATTTTTAAGGATGGCAAAACCGGGGTGACAAAGAGACACTCACCATGACTGAACGCTATTCACTCCTTCGAGATTTTGTCTGCCCCAGTACAACAGCGTCCTGAGGGCGAAGGGGCTGAGGTGTACCCTTGAGTTGCCCACTGCAGCAACCGCTGCACCTAAGAAATAACGACCAGTTCTGTGGGCCAGGGTCTCGCTTTCACCTAGAAACAGAGCCTGGGGACAGCAGAAAAACGGGGACTTCCCGTAATGACGGGAAACGTTCTCTGAAGCACCTGATTTCACCATCTAACTCCGGCAAACAAAACCACCTCAACCCGAATCAGCCATGTTCTCGGGGGGGAGGGGAGGAAGGGGGAGTGAAAAAAGAGCCGATTTTCAACAGCTTTACCTCTGTCAACAGGCTGCACCTCAGGGAACGCCCGGCTCGGGACCGTGCGACATCGGCTCCGCCGCAGCGGGCGCTACCGCTACCTCCCCAGCACGGGCAGGGGCGCCGGCCAACGGCTGAAAAACATCCCCTGGGACGCGGTGCAAGCGCTCGCAAACACCGCTGTTAGATACCCGAGAAAAGGGCTGCCGGCGCCCGGCTCGCCGGCC